GCCTGGCCCAAATGTGACTCCAGACCCACAGCAATGTGACTCTTAACTGCCCTCTGAGCAATTAAGGTTAGGCAATAAATCCTCATTTAGCCAGAGATGCTCACATCCCATGAGTGAATTAAAAAGAAGTGCACTATGGTAGGAGGTTGCTGTCCTGAATTCCCCTACATCAAGCTGAGGATTCTCTGTTCAAATTATTTCTGTACTACACCTCCGTTTATAGCTTGGCGAAACACTTGGATTAAGGTGCTGTGTTTGGAGCACTGTAATAATGTTACTAGAACAGAGAACAGGCCCCTTGGCCCACTGTGAGTGAAAGATATAATGGTACCAGTCATCCAGAGGCACAGGTTCAAATCCTACATTGGCAGTCGGGAATTGATGTTAATTATTGATTGCCTATGACTACAGTTCAGGTATACTTCCTTGGCTGTAAAGTGCTTTGGTACACATTGAGGTAGCAAGAGGTGAAAGCTTGTTTATTGTGTACAAGGTGATATCAGATACAACTGTCTGGAGTGTCACGAGAACATGTAGAAAAACTGTAGTTACTGAAGAAATTCACAATGTAATGGGTATGGTAAAATTAATCAATATGGTGAAGATCTTGATAAACCAAATATGGAAAACATGTTTTCTTTAGCAAGTGAATCAATAACTAGAAGCCATTGATTTAAAACAATTGACAAAGCCTAGAGGGAAAATGAGCAGATTTATCATTTCCCAAATTTTAAAATCTAGAATGCACCACTGTTACCTACTAAAGGTGGAGGAAACAGATTCCATTGGAGTTTCACAAGGCAAGTGAGCAGGTAGTTAAAGGTGACTAATTTTCATGGTTATAGGGAGTTAAAATTGGGGGCAAGGACTAAATTTGACAGCTATTTCTAGGAACTTGCACAGGCAGGATGGGTCACATGTCTCCTGTGTTTTGTATGTGCTGTCAGCAACACCTTCTCAGTGCATGTTCCTCAAAGGCCCATGTGATCTCGTGTGGATGAGGATAGCACTTTCTGGTCTAACCAGAAGAGTGTGTTGGAGTAAACAAGAGATAGTTAATTGCATCTCTGCTACTATTTACATGTTACAAGGTCATGGTATAAACTATTGCAGAGTCTGTTTGGGGGGACCTGGTCGTTGTTCTGATTCCTACAATGCTGTCTTCATAAAATCACCTCAGTGGTTCGTGCTTATGGCATTCAATCAGTATCTGCCCTTTCAGACCCATATTATAACACTGTGCTGCAAGATTCTATGATTTTTAGCCTGTAAGAAGATTATATCGACTCGAGGACACTGCAACTGACCTCACTTAATATTTATTAAATCCTGTAATTCTGTACGCTTGCTGGATTATACATCTGATCTTTAAATGTTATCCAGAATTAATGTGTGGTGAATCTCAAATGTAATATGATACTGGCTACCAGGCTACATCTCTGTGTTTTTGTTTAGGCTGTGTTTATTGCCACTCCAACTTCAGGAGCCAAACTCTCCACCTGTGCATTTATAGTACTTGTGCTGTCACTGCTAGCAATGCTGCAGAGAGGTGCCTGCATCAAAAACAAGTAACAAAGTTAGAGTTTTGCAAATCTTTTAAATTATTTCAAATTCTGTGATTGTGATTTGCTCACTGTCCCACTTGACACACTTGTCGTCACTGCTCCAGACTCCTCAGTACCTTCCTGCCACTATCTGCCATTCAGCCTCCCTGGGAGCGAGGGAGCAAGGTAGTGAGAGAGGGTAATGCAGTCAAGAGTTGGGAGTAAGTGACCAGGATGCTAGCAAGTGAGGTGATGAGCATGGTGCTGGACATGGCATGGAGTGTAGTGGCGAGAAGGGGAGTGGGAGGAGAGAGATTGGAATGGCAGAGCTGGGCACCATGTATGTACAGGAGGACTGTAAAGGCCTTAAAGAGTTTCTTGGGCATCACTGGCACCCGATGCCCACACAGTGGCAGAGTCAGCACCAGCTTCTGGCTCAGCACCAGCTTCTGGCTCAAAGCGCACATTGATGGCATCAGCAGCATTGACCTCCTTTGCCATTGTGGTGGCAGGAGATGTTCCATTTAGGCTAAACCAAACTGAAGAATATCATGACCATACTGTAAATATGATGTGACCCAGCCAACCTGAGCATTTTGTTACCTGCAAGTTTCAAGAAAAACAACAAAAACTTGCGTTTGCTTGGCAGCTTTGATGGAATAAACCTCCCCAAGGACCTTTCACAGGAGACTCGCCATTAAATTTGATACCAAGCCATGTGAGGAGTTGTTAGCATGGTCAAAGGTTTTACGTGGGGAGAGAGGGGTTTCGGGAGGAAAATCCCATCTCTCTGGCTCGTTTTCAGCTGCCTGGCCTGTAAGATAAGGGGTCAGAATTGGAGGAGTGCATATGTTGCAGTAGGTTGTAGAAAATGGGAGGGGTGGGGCCATCAACAGATTTGTAAACAAGGCTGAAAGTTTTCAAGCCATGGTGTGGTTGGTAGTCTTGGAGCCAGTGTTAATCAGCAACAATAGTGATGGCAGGCAGATTGGATCTGATGCAGTTAGAATACTGGCAGTACAGTTTTGGATGACCAAGTTTGAAGGTGGAAGATACGAAGCTGGCCAGGAATGTGTTGCAGTTATCAATTCTGGAGGTAGCAAAAAGCATGCTGAGTATGCCGTACTGTGTTATCAAGATGTGCCTCTGTGATTTATGATCAACGTACTCCTTTTTTTTTCCTGAAGTGATCCTAAAGATTCCACAAAAAACAAGTGAGATCAATGATGCAATTTGATGAAAATACGAACTTGTTTTCATAAAATTGGTCATTAATCTGTCAACTTAAGGAAAGAAGCCTGTTATCTTTACAGAAGCCCAGTCTAAGTAATTTCAGACCAACTTAAACTGAGTTAAAGACAGAACTGTTTTTAACTGTTGTTAATTAAGGGAAGAATATTTTTAGGATTGTAACAGTTTCCTATTCTTCAAGAAAGTAATATCCTGTTGAAGGGGCTGGTGCAATCTTGATCTTTCGTCACATCCAGACAACCACACCTCTAACAATGCCATGCCTCCTTGAGTGGCCTGCCAGTCTGAACTGTTCTGAGAGGGTGCCACCAGTTGAACAGGATTGACAGCCATCATCCTGACTTTGTGTTGGTAGAGATAGTTTAGTAAAATAGAAGCAATGAATCATAATTCTGCAGCTCAGAAGGCATTTTTTCAGTCAGTGCAGCTTATGATGACTCTTGGAGAGTGTGATCCATATAGTTATGTTTCCTTGACCTTTCATGTAAAATTTTCACTTTACCAAATATATATCAGCTTCCCTTTTTTAAAAAGCATATGGCAAATTCTACTTACTGTGCTGCCTCTGGTTGGACATTCCATATGAATGTGTAAAAAGTGAAAAGCATATGACTCCAGTTCTGTCAGCCTGAGCCTGACTGATTCATTGCCTTGTCTATCATAATGCAGACACCCTTCAATCCTCTCAAGGCTACACAAGTTTAAAAACTTTGACAAAGAAACTACTTAAGCAATCATAATTAATACAAGAGTTAACAGCAGTCCTGATTAATGTTATACTGTTTGTACGTGGTGATTTCCACCTCAATCATAAATGACACCGGCTCTCGCTTGAAGGAAATCAGCATGTGCCTCGTATGATGACTTTTCCATAAGCCTGTGTCCTAATGACATGCTGATTGGTTGGTTTGAAATGTACTTTCATACTCTCTCCTGTGCACATTTTGATGGGCATCTTGATGTTATGCTCTCTGATGTCTTCCTGCCTGACCAATTGACAACAATTTCTCATTTCATTCTTTCAAATTCTTGTACTTCTGTACACTTCTATCTGATGCCCTCTTAACCTTTGCTGAATTTCTTGGCAGGGGCTTGGTAACTGGAAAATGCAGGGAGAAATGAAAAGTTTTTTTTTTGCACAATAACGTTTGGTAAATAGGTATGTACTGCCTGGAAGGTTAATGGAAGCAGATTTAAAAGTGCCTTTAAAAAGACAATCAAATTAATACTTGGAGGGGAAAACTTTTTTGAGGGGCTATGGGGCAGGAGCAGAGTGTGGGAACAATTGACTAGCTCTTTGAAAGACCCAGCAGCCCAGCAGGTTGGGTGAATTACCTCCTGGATGCTATGCTGAGTCCTGGTGCTGCAGGCTTTTTCATAACAGCTGGCACAAGAGACCTAGTCATTTTGATGGATTCTCTTCCTTCGTCTTCTTGATGTAAAGATCTAAAGGGACTGGAGGAGCTGTGGGATCTCTAGGTGCAGGCACACAAATCGCCAGAAGTGTCAAAAGGTTAATAAGACTATTTTAAAGAATAAAGCTCTGATTTCATTTCTGGAGGGAATAAGGTTGAAAAGCAAAGTTCAACTTTTATAGTCCTTCCTTGGATAAAATTCAGAGTACCCTTCACGTTTTTGGCCTCCATATAATAAAAAAGAATGGAGAAGCAAGTAGATTACTAGAATTAGGCCTGATTAAAGAAACCTTGACTTATTTCTCCAGAGGAGAGACCAAGGCTCTGACCTGAAGTAGTCCTTAAGGTTAAGAGTATAAAAGTGTTAATTAGAATAGACAATTGGAACTAGGGGCCATCAATATAAGATAATTTAGGAGAAACATTTTTGTCAAAAGAGTGTTGAATATGGAATCTGAGTTTGAAATGAATAACGTAGGTGCGCTTTTAAGGAAAACTGGATAAGTACACGAGGGAGGAAGAAATTGAAGAATATGTTGATGAGGTTAGATGCAGGACGATGGCAGAAGGCTTTTATGAATCAAACACCACCACATACCGGTTGAACTGAATGGTTTGTTTCTGTTCTGTAAATCCAATGTTTAAAATTCTTCCTAAAGTAAAACTATTAAGAGGTTGTTTGTTATGCTTGTAAATGCAATGTATATGTTTACAGTGAGAAAATCAACTTGAAAGGAAATGCCCTTTTCTCAATTTGTGAGTTTTTAAAAAAGATTTTTTCTCTCTCTAGATTTTCTCCTGGTTGGGCTCCAGGCTTAAGGCTTGGAGAAATCCACTGGCGCCATAGATTCCAACAACTGGAGCGGCAGTGAAAGTCCTGCCGAAAACCTCGAGAGAATGACAGATTCAGCTGATAAGCCGATGGACAATGATGCAGAAGGTGTCTGGAGTCCTGACATAGAGCAGAGTTTCCAGGAAGCCCTGGCCATCTACCCACCATGTGGAAGGAGGAAAATCATTCTCTCAGATGAAGGCAAAATGTATGGTGAGTCACCAGAACTGTAGAAAAAGGAGACGCTTTTGGGACCAGATGGTCTCACTGCTACCAGCTGTGCTTCTGTCTTTTTTGTGTTCTCTCTCTCTCTTCTTTCTTTCTTTCTCTCTTCCTCTCTCTCTCTCTTTCTCTCTCTCTCTCCCCTTTCTTTCTTTCTTTCTTTCTTCCTTTCTTTCTTTTCTTTCTTTCCTTTC